TTGGACTCTTCAAAAGTCCACACCCATAAATCAAAAGAAGATCGAATCAGGAACGATCAGGTATTGATGCCTGCCTGTTGGATACTTGGCTACTCAGACAGAATCCAGTGTCCTTTAACTTCTGACTCCTGTGAATTAGATATATTTGTGTTCTTTGAGCTGGATGTTGGCGTTTTTTTGAGAAGCTTTCATTGCCTTACCATTAGGCCAATATCCTCCAGAGCATACTTCAATTAGCTGAAGTGAGCTTTTAGATTTATCCACGAGTTTATTAGTCATCTCTCCTGGTGAGTGACTTTCAACGTGGTAATTGGTTGTTTTTGTGTATTTTCACATCCTATAGGCTACTTGTATTGGTACTTATTGTCTCCTTCTTTCGAAGTTTAACTTTATACGATTGAGATTTTCCTCTTACATGTTGGTAAATTTTGTCTATGTCAGTAGGTCCATTAATTGACGATTTTCAAGTATTGGTTTTGTAGGAATTTTGTTTGATTGGATGGAGGATTTCATCATGAGCTGACATCAGTAAAAGAATCACTGGAAAACCTGGACGGCTGTTTCTTCGTAGTTTGGGATTCTTCATCAATACGTAGCCACTAGGGTTCGAACCAAGGTTCTTCTGGCCCTATTTAGGCAGTTAGTCACCAGGAGTTCTAGCGGGAAGCGGTGACCAGTAGGGTGCGGCAGTTTGAACGTGAGGCAGTAACTCGTCATCGAAGAAGACATTGCGCAATGGTCACGCTATGTAATGAGGTGACAGAAGTTGGAATTCATGCACTGACTGGCCATTGGATTGGCGGGTCACAGCGGCTTAACAGTCTACGAGCTAGCTCGCTTTGTGACCAGAAGGTCCTGGATTCGAACTCTGATGTTGGGATATGGATGTGTACTGCTGAAGAATCCTGAACAAGGACGAAACAGCTGCCAAGTACTCCCAGATTTTCCAGTTGTTCCATAACTGATGTCAGCTCATGATGAAATTCTCCATCCAATTGGCGATTCATTGGGATACCAGGCTTCCAAAAATTCTCTGGCATTCATGCCAGATAAGAAGGTAATCTCACCCACAAGGGGTCAAACTTCAGGTCAAGGAAACAATCACTATCAATACAAGCAGCCGAGAGGGTGTGAAAACACACAAAATCAACCAGTCACGTTTAGCGTCAGCAGGAGATAATAAATAAAATCTTGGAGAAATCTAAAATCTCACTTCAACAAATCGAAGTATGCACTGAAGATGTTGGCCTAATTAGAGGACAGTTAAACCACCGCAGCCCAGAGAAGACAACTTCATCAAAATCTTCCACCTTAGCTAAAAATCTTCTCCATTATATCCTGTGAATTCGTCATATATGTATAGAGCCACTGTCAACCACTGTCATCTGTGAATATCGGTCCTGTCGCTCAACTTGTTGGATTCCACTGGTCACGATTTCTGACTATAACTACAAGCGAATTCATCCTGTAGCCAATCGATAGTGGGCATTATAATTATTTTCCGCATATTTTAATTTTTCAATGGTTTCTAAAGTGATGCCCATCTGTTATCTAAGTTGAGATTAATCGATTTCCTGAAAAGCAACACTTATACTTTGGTTTCCTGTGAAATACCTCAAATTATTCTAAATTTCAAAACCTTTTTTAATCGATTTTAAGTATGTCGTAATAAATAATTCCTGTGTGCTGTGTGTTGGTGGCACGGCAGTAGAATGCTCGCTAATAACGCCACCTGTGGTTCGGGTTCGATCCCCGCCCCTTGAATGCACTCCTTTACCTCGCTAGGCCAAAAATAAGACTGAAAAATAGGGAAGGTTGGCTAGGTACGAGGCTGGCTACCAACTCCATCCTGTGAAAATAGCCAATATTGTTACGGAAACTGCAAGCCTCTTGCTTGAAGTCCTATGTTCCACCACTGGGAACGTAAAGGAATAAAAAATAACAAAATAATTTCTGTAAAATGGAGTGAGGTATGAGCGAATGTTTTTAACGGTGTTGTCACATTTTACAATGGAAAATACTTTCATGGCGACTAGCAGGGGAATCCAGGATAACGCGCATTTCGTCCTATCTAGACTCGTCAGCTGGTGGATATACATAGATTCCCCAGTCAGTGAGTGATGAGGTTCCCCACCGAGGCTCCAATCCAGTACCAATGGTTTCAAACGCCAAAGTGTTATCCACTAGACCACTTGAGCCATGAGAGCCACCTCATTCTCATGCGACGAGTGTCAGTAATTATTCAATTCATTTCTGACTTTCCCATCGATTAGTTGATAACTGGTATGCTTTGCACAAGAAATTGGTGCCTTTCGTGACCCGAGTGGTCTAGTGAATAACCCTTTGGTGTTTGAACGATGGGCACTGGGTTTGAACCTCATTGAGAACATTACCACTTATTGGGGACTGCTATAGAGCAAATTTTCCGAATTCTTGAGCATAGAGAACAGATAAGATTTCTCTTCCTAATTAGAGGTGCTCAACTTTTGAAAAAACTAGGGTACTGTGGTAGAGTATAACTCCATTATGGATAAAATTTTATTTTAATAAGTCACACAGTGTTATACAGTAATAGTAATTGGTGAAGTTTCGAGGCAAACTATTGTTCAGTATCATATCAAATCACTCACACAAGTTTCTAACTTCCTTAGCATAATTCCATTATTTTTCCATTGCTTGATTTCATTCGTAATAGTATTTTCCATATTTCTGGCGTGAGTGATAAGTCATTCCTATTGTATGTGTTAGGCCTAGATTATTCGATGAACAAGGATTCAGTAATCAATCAACCTCTCTCTCTCTGTCCACCTACCTACATGACTTTTTAAAATTGCAACTCTGTCCTACCCTATTGTGTGGTTGTGCGTTAATGCATGCAGTTCTGTTGATGAGTTTTTTTCTAAATTACTTATCTGTCTTCGTAGGGTTAATCATTCTAACCTTAGCCACGAAATTCTTATGTTCCAACAATCTGATTACCCCCAAACCTACTAGTTTGACCTCTTTATTTGACCTCATTCACAGTCATTGCAAGGTACTTTGTAAATTATATTATTTTGTTTATTTGAGTCCACCGGATCTTTTAGCCTATAGAGCTTGTCCTACCTGAGTGAGTTTGTAGGTTTGAATGACACCAGCCTTATTCTTGCTTTATTAAGAATTCTACGTAGAGAGGGTCTCAGATGCCCCTCCTTATATAATATAACAGTAGATGCCTTATATTTTCTCTTATTTATGTTATCATTATTAGTTTCACAATTATTTTTATTTCAGGATTTCATCATAAACTGACATTAGTTAGAGAACCATTGGAAAACCTGGGAGTACTGGACAGCTGTTTCGTCCTAGTTTGGGACTCTTCAGCAGTACGAACCCACACCATGGGGTTCGAACCCAGGACCTTCTGGTTACAAGGCTAGCGAGCTCGCATACCATTAAGCCACTGGGACCCGATCCAACGGTCCTTGAATTCTAACTTCTGTCAATTCACGACATAGCGCAACCGCTAGCCAATGTTTTCGGCGAGTATTTGTCCTCACACCCAACCGGCTGCACCCTACTGGTCACGACTTCCCACTTCACTGGCGACTGGCCCTATTCAGGTAGGTAGTTACCTGGGTTCCAGTGGGAAGTCGTGACCAGCAGGGTGCAGCCGATCGGGTGTGAGGACAAATACTCGCCGAAGACATTGGCTAGCGGTTGCACTATGTCGTGAATTGGCAGAAGTTAGAATTCAAGGACCATTGGATCGGGTCCCAGTGGCTTAATGGTATACGAGCTCGCCTTGTAACCGGAAGGTCCTGGGTTCGAACCCATGGTGTGGGTTCGTACTGCTGAAGAGTCCCAAACTGGGACGAAACAGCTGTCCAGTACTCCCAGGTGGTTTTCCAATGGTTCTCTAACTAATGTCAGCTCATGATGAAATCCTGGAACCGATCAAATCCCTACAAACCATCACTTGAATATTTTTATTTCGCTTCTGGCCTTTTTCGATCTTTCTAATGAATTTTATATGATAGTTACTTAACACCAAAGCCTTTTCTATGTGTTTCATTTCATCATTTAGGTCTTTTCTTGTGCTACTTGGTGCTATTGCTCGGTTTTTTAGACACTTAACTAAGCCTGCCTTAACAGTTTACGGATGAAACGAATCAAAGTCTAAATATCTATTAGCAGAATGTGTTGGCTTTTTATAAACTTTATTTTACAATCTAACATCATAGCTGATTCTCCTTGTTCATTTTCTGATTCAAATGTGAATTTCAATTCTTTTACTAGTGAGTTTATGTGTGTCAAGAATCTAGAGATATGTTCTGTTCTATGAGTGAAAATGTCATCCACATATCTCCACCATATTTTTGGGGTAGGATTAAACGTACTAAGAGCATTACTTTCCCAGCTGTGCATAAATATTGTCGGCTACCATAGGGGATATTGATGATCCATCCCATTGCTACACCTTCTGTTTGTCTATATCTACTTTGCCCTGGAATTTAAAGATAATAGATATTTTATTACCCATCTGATTGTATTTGATTGATAACACTCATATTATTATTATTATTATTTCTGAATGTACATTATCCTATAGTGACTTTTATTCAAATATCTAACGGATTCCACACGTGTATATAAATGAAGGAAAAAAGTTGTGTGAGTTGAGTGACTTGATATGATTATGAGTGGCAATAATTTGTGCTTGAAACGTGGTCATCATCAGTTAATATTACTGTATAACACTAAAAATGTGTGACACTTTATCAAAATGAAATCTTATCTATAATGGAGTCAACTTTTGGAGTTAGTATACTGCCTTGTAAATATTGGCTTTCGATAAATAAATCGATTTTATTTTAAAGTCTGCAAAGTTCTTTGGAGCCACCTTTAGACATTTGTTTATACATTTATACTTTTCAATTTTCTCTTCCAGATATTGCATCAGTTATTTCACAGAATCAACTAAAAAGGAAAACAAATTATCAGTGTATTTATATAGAAAGATGGGATCTTCAACTAATGTGAAAGAACTGGTTGTACAACTACAGACATTACTTACAGATTTGAAATCAAAACCTGAATTAGAACAAATTATTAATAATGAAGAAAAGTAAGCAGATTGCTTTTTTAAAAAAAGAATAATCTTTTTTTAATGCTTGAAGTGATAATTATTACTGAAAACATTTATTTCCCGATACGAATTTAAAACAAGCAATAAAGGTTAATAAAGCAGGATTTAATGAATTCATCAAATTTCGGTAGAACTCGTCAGCTGAATACTCTACATACACGGGTATATATACTTTTGAAATTACATTGGGAGATATAAGACTGATAAGTAAACAAACTACATTGAATTAATCATGCAGAAAGACAGGTGCGAATGTTTTCCAGGTCATGTTCAAATAGATAAGGGGAGAGAGAGAGAAAATTTTTTTTTTTTTTAAATTGCATTACGCTTCAATTACATCACTTAGATAAACAATTAGTCATTAGGGAATATAAGGAGAATTGCAAACAGACTAATATCAATAGTAATAGTTATAATAACAATAATAATAGTGTTGAAGTGAGTTAAGATAATCTTACTGATAAAGCATAGTTTTAAATGAATCAAGAATAATAATAATAATGGTAATAATAATAATAACAATAATAGTAAGAAGAAGAGGTAGAATAATAACAAGTAGAGAATAAAACGTATTACCATGGTAGATTAAGAGTTACGACCATCTCCTTTTGTATACAGAGAGCTGGTTTATAAATTCGAATTGCACAAGCCTCTGCAATTGCAAGCATCTTCTTGTTTCTTTGTTTGCTGACAATGGTAAATGACTTGACTGCGTCGATATCATGTCCGTAATCTACAAGATGTTTTGTTATTGAGGATTTTGGCACTTTGAACTCAGCTGTTTTCAACCATTTTGGCAAATGCTCCATCATGCGAGTAGACAATCGCCTTTCCGTACGACCTATGTATTTGCTGCCACAAACACACTCAAATTGATATATGCAGTTTGAAGTGTCGAGGATTGGCGACTGGTCTTTCCCAGATTGTTGAAGCACTCGCTTGGTGGTGTTAAGGATAACAAGTTTTGCAGCATAATAAGTTCTCTTGATGGCTTTGTCGAGTCTTCGTTTCACTACTTCTTGTACGTCATCTCCTTTGAACGGTAAATTGATATAAACAGGTTTCTTTGGAACTGTTTGAATTGTTTTGCGGGGGGTAGTTTCTTTGGAGTATTTATTAATGAACTTCTCAGGATATCCATTCTTAGATAAAATATCCTTCAGAGATTTTATTTCCTGTTCAATAGTACTGTCAGAACAAATTTTCCGTGCTCTATTGAACAGTGTTCTGACTAGGTTCTTTTTGTACTGGATTGGGACAAAGCTCTTGAAATGCATGTACTGTCCTGTCCATGAAGACTTTCTAAATATAGATCTTTCGATTGTGCCATCATTCATTTTGGCTAGAAAAACGTCTAGGAATTTCATAGTATCGTTTTCCTCGTGTTCTACTGTGAAATTGAGATTTGGATGGCATGAATTGAATTTTATCAACATGTCTTCCGCTTTTGATCTGCTTTCACAGACAATAAAAATGTCATCAACATATCTTAGGTATACATTTGTTTCTTGTATGTGCTGCTGCAAAGCACCGGTTTCTAGGCGTGACAAGAATAAGTCGGCGAAAAGTGGTCCCAAAGGGCTTCCCATTGCGACACCATCAACTTGACGGAACAGACGCCCGTTGAATTGGAATTGGACATTTTTAGTACATAAAAGTAGTAATTTCCTCAATTCCGATGTTGGAATGGGTATGTCTTCAGCTTCTTTACATATGAAGTCGATAGTCTCAACAACTGGCACATTTGTGAAAAGGGAGGTAACATCGAAAGAGACCAAATGCTTATCGGATACATTGAAATCTTTAATTTGATTGACAAATTGAAATGAATCAGAGACTATATGTGTTCCGAAACGTTTCAACAATGGCTGCAACAGTTCACATAACCACTGTGCTAGTCTGTGGTACGGCGAGTTTATCATAGAGAGTATGGGTCTTAACGGCGCTCCTGGTTTGTGTATTTTTACGCGTCCGTATAGTTTTGGGATTTGTGACCCAATCGGTTTGATATTTCTATATGTGTTTTCGTCTATGTATTTATTTTTGAAGAGTTGTCGTAGATGCTGCACAATTTTCCTTTCGGTTGATAACGTTTGGTCTTTTGCATGGTTATCCAATTTGAATTTAGATTCATCGGCGAGAATTTGATGCATTTTTTCGAGATAATCTATCTTGTTCATTAGCACTACACTTTGTCCTTTATCAGCTTGTAGGATAACAAGATTTTTGTCTTTTCGAAGCTTGTTTAAAGATCGCCAGTGTTCTTTGGTGATATGCGACTTTTGATTGGTCGGCATGACTCGAAATTGATGAGCGATATCAAAGCAAAGATGGTTGATACCCACATTGGGATTTCAATCGACTGATAGCCTGCATTGAATGTGATATCATTTGACGGCCGTCTCAGTGGCGTGTTTGCCCAATCCGACTCCATCTCTTTCTCTTACACATTTACTGAGCAGTCGGCTCTTCTTTGGTTTTTTCCCAGCCAGAGTTTCTTCTTGCTAATTCTTTCTGACCAGCCAGCCATTTGATCTTCAGTGTAAAGCCGGCGAATTGGCCAGCAGTTGACAAGAATCTACACTAGCCTGTTGTAAATGCTTTTCTTGACTGACTCACACGCAGTGCAAGTTACTCACCCACATAGAAGAATTGACTGATTAACTTCACATTTGTGCTGAACAGAATTCGAATTTTGTACTTCATGCCGGTTGGCCTTGTGACTCCTTGTGACACATAATACCCAATAAAACTATATTGTTCTTCGTTATTACTATTCACTTCGCCTCATAGCTCTGTTTACTGACCCCATTTTGTATTTCTTGTTACTTTCTTCCCTTTTTTGTGTGCTACATGCGATGTGGCAGCTAGAAGTGCTGCACATCCGTCCGAAGTTCTACGTTGAAACCAGTCATTCATTCAGCTGCCTGGCTGGCTAGCCAGCTTACATATCTTCATCCGTGCTGTCCAACTGCCTACCTGCCTACCGGTGGTTGATAGCGCACTGGCTTCCTGGCTGCTTAGATAAGTGAAGGTAGGAAGTGACCTGTACCGAATCCCTCACACTGATGGTGATTGGTGCTGGTTGTCATTGTTGTTGTTGCTGTTAGTGGTGGTTGGTTGGTTGGTTATCTTCACCACCTCCGTCTTCTCCATGTTCACCTGGAGACAGTCCTATCTTCTCTGCTTGCCTACTTGCCTCTTCAGTCAGTTTGTTTGTTTTCGCCTGCCTGGCTGAGTGTAAGTCTTCGAGTTTGTGTGCATGACATTAAACATAATTCATCCACACACGAAATCCAGATCTTCTTATCAGCCCAGTGTATTCTTGTATCTCAAATATATAATGATCAACAAAAATCGATAATTTGAAAGAAGAGAACACGAAGTTCAGCAAAGATGGCGATTTTTTCGGCGATTTCATTCTCAAAAGCAGCTGTACAATCGCATTTATATAGATCAGTTTACACGGATACAATTCTTATTTGCTTAATTCCACATAGTAACGAAGGTGATAATAATTTTCAGCTTGATATGATAGTTTGAAGGTACGAATATAGATTACAAGGGACTTAGAGACAGGATTGCATAGGATTCAAAAGCAGTTATAACGTATGCAAAATTGATATTTGATAACCGGAGGAATAATAAGTCAAGTAATGGCACATCTGGTCAACGCCTCCCACAACACCTCAACAGATTCTTTCAAAGTGATTTACAAAGTCAACAGTAACCTACCAAAAGCAGTATGTTTCCGATTTCTTTGTACTGCAGAAGCCCTCGCAATATGCATCGAGAAGCCGGAGCTGTGTGTTCAAAAGAAGTTAGTCCAACCTCTACAGCTACCATGGACCTAGTTTGGTATGTTCCCTCGTCTTCCGTTTTTTCTCCTTCTTCGTCTTTTTTCGTTCTCCCTTTTCTTTTTGAGCATTTTTTAGTTTGCTGTGTATCTGATCCTTAGCCCCTAAGTCTTCATTGGATTCACCTAATTTTTTCAGTTATAAAACCAGTTATTTTAAGTTTGTTTTCATGCTCCTCCTGATCACACTTGTAATCCGTTTAGAATAACCATTTTTTGTTTCTACGCCTTTTGTAATCTATCTATATTCACACCTCCTAACTTCCATTTCAAGTTGAAAATTTTTGATTTCAATTTGTTTCCATGCTCATTTTGTTCACACCTGTAATACGTTCTATCACCGCGTCTCTAAGCCTCTTGTAATTCATATCAAGTTGAAAACAATTATCACCTTTTATTCGACTTTAAAATTATTTCTCGTTATCAAATATTAATTTTGCATACGTTATAACTGTTTTCGAATCCTATGCAGTCCTGTCTCTAAGGCCCTTGTAATCTGTATTCTTACCTTCAAATTTTCATATCAAGTTGAAAATTATTATCACCTACGTTACTATGTGGAATTAAACAAATAAGAATTGTATCCGTGTAAACTGATCTATATAAATGCGATTGTACAGCTGCTTTTGAGAATGAAATCGCCGAAAAGATCGCCATCTTTGCTGAACTTCGTGTTCTCTTCTTTCTAAAAATCGATAACACTACGAATTTCAACAGATACGTTGTGTGACATTTAAACAACAATTATTGATTAAATGTCCAATACGATAAAAAAACACCTTAACCGGAAGTTGTTAATTCTTCTAAATTAACGTTATTTTTAGCAATTTTTTGGATTCATATAATTTATAAAGTTTTACTAAACGCCTTTATTGATTTCTTTGTGTTCTAAATCAGACGTAAGGCTTGAGGCTTGAACTTCCAAATTATAATAATAATAATAATGGTGGTATTGTGTTTTTACGAGGTGGAGTTATTAGCTTCAAGGCGAGTGTTCTCTGTTTCACTAAGCTTATTACTGGCTGGTCGATCGATGTTTAGGAGTGTTGTCTGGAAATCGAACCTAGACCAGGTGGATAGTTGGTAAATACAGAACTAACGATGCACAGATCCACTGTTTTGG